GAAAACCCCTAAGGACTTGCTTCATCAGTGCACACACAATGTTCGGTTTCGTTTGCTAGGCATTTGGGTATGGACAGAAACATAGACTAATAATGGGTTCACCAATGGGTCCATTGTTCCCGACGTGCTCACAGCCAAACTGGAGAAGGGTTTCCTAAATAAAATAAGTAAACAATGTTGACATCATGTGCGTGGCGGACAACTCAGTAGTCTAGATTAAATTGCTGAGAAAATCCAATCAAACGCATAGAAACATTCGTTTCGACAAGCAGCCGGAACCCTAGATTTACAAATTTCGCGTCAACCAGACGGAAGTCAACAGCATCCAAGTTACAGAAAGGTAAGATGGACTGATCGGTACATTTACCTTAGCACTTTTGTACGAACGAAACAGATGTTAAACGTAAGCCGATGTCTTACTCTAAGAGAAATCAAATGGTGCTCCAACGATGCAAGTAAACAGAAGCAAGAATAAAAGAAGTATTTGTTAATAGTGGAGCCATTCAACAATAGAAACATGGGGACTGACCAGTGAACCGGTAAAGTGCACAGGGTGGAAAAAACTTGTACACTTCTCATGGCTTTTCATAGGCGATCACGCATATATTGGCAGAGGGCTTAGACATGCAATCAGTAAGATGTGTATCGCAGCACAGCTACGAATTCGCTTCCTTACCACACACCTGCTGCTTCTGCAACTGAGGAATAAATTGTCTGTGGATATGACGCGCTTTGTGTACTAGTATCTTTTTTCCTGTGGAACAGGCTACACAGAACGCATTACCCAGTGTGGTTGGACCGTGCATTAAATAAAACAGGCAGCAGGGCGTGTCGTATAGCTTCTTCTTCTTCTTCTTCTTCTTCTTCTTCTTCTTCTTCTTCTTCTTCTTCTTCTTCTTCTTCTTCTTCTTCTTCTTCTTCTTCTTCTTCTTCATCTTCTTCTTCTTCTTTCTTCTTCTTCTTCTTCTTCTTCTTCTTCTTCTTCTTCTTCTTCTTCTTCTTCTTCTTCTTCTTCTTCTTCTTCTTCTTCTTCATCATCATCATCATCATCATCATCATCATCAATAGACGTTAGCTGAGAATGAGAAACGCGCCACAGCGAATGTGTCGCAATACAAGAATATAAGATACTAAAATATTACGCGACAGAATCCAAAAAAGTAAAAAATTGTTAAATATTAGATTGTGTATTTCGTATGAGATAATCATTGGAAGGAAAATGTAAAAAGGGGGTGGACAAAGGAAGTCACAACACAAACGCCATTGGGGCCTGCACATCGCCATAACAGTGTGTCCAACCAAAGGTGTTCATCGTCCTTGGGACCCCAGCCAGGCGGTCGGGATGAATCAACCGACGCCAAGTTCGAAGTGAGGGTTTTCATTTCTTTCGACCAAGTAATCGATTGGTATCCCTCCACATCTTCCAGCCAGACTCCCGGAGCGCAAAGAACGTACGTCGCGGGAGTGTGCTGGCGTGCGCAACACGTGGCCCAGCCATCGGAGCCTGGTGCGTGATATAATGGTGCTGAGCGGTCCATTCGCTCTTCCTGCCCCGAATACGCGACGCCGAACAAGTTTATTGTTTACACGGTGCTCCAATCAAACAAGAGCTAAGCTGCGAAGGCAGCAGTGTTCGTAAGTGACTAACCTCTTTATGTCTGTCGACGTGATTGGCCAGGTTTCACAACCGTATAAGATGGTTGAATGGAGGGCTGCATTAGAAACGTTACCCTTCAGGGCTTCAGTGATGTCGCGTCGGCGACATACGTGGTGGAGATTGGCAAAAGCACCTCGAGCTTTTGCTATAAGGTTCGTAATCTCATTTTCAAATCCATGGGGGCTAACTGTCCAGGTATTTGAATCCCTGAACGACTTCTAACTGATCACGCCCAAGGGTCAGCGTAGGGGTGGGTTCCTGCCAATCTTGGAGAAGGACATTGCATTTCGGTGGAGCAAAGCATGGCCCAAAACGATTGACAGCCAGTGCTAATCAGTACAGTATTGCTTGGTACGTTTGGGAGCTGTCACAGATGACGACAATATAGTCCGCATACTCCAAGTCAAAAAGTTGCTCATCAGGAAGTAGCTCCACACTTTGTAGTTCGTGCACAGCGACCGCTGTTTCCGTGACTTCGTCAACTGCGAAGTTAAACAGGAAAGGCGATAGCGAGCAACCTTGTCTCACACCGCTGGGGATATTAAAGTGGCGACAGTTGGCTATAAACCGTCACTCTGCCCGAAGTATGCGCGTACAACGCTCTGATAATGTCTACATATTTATCAGGCACATTTTTTCTCAGCAGGCAGTCCGAAAGGGCACAACCATCCATCGAATCGAACGCAAATTTGATGTCGAGAAACACGAGAACGGTGGGTCACCAATAAACATGGCTGTGCTCCAACAATTGATGCAAAGTAAGATGTGGTCGATGCAGCTTCGATTACGACGAAGCCCGGCTTGCTCTTCGCAGATCTGGTCTCCACGAGCGCCGGTCACTCTGTGGAGAACGACAGACGCAAGCAATTTAGAGACAGTTGAGATCAGACTGATCCTTCTATGGTTGCCGCATTGTGAAGGAGAGCCTCCCTTGAAAATTGGGACTAGGATAGAGCGTCTCCAGTCTGTCGGGACACTTTCCTGCTCCTAAAGTTTCACTAGTAACTCGTGTAAATCATCTACAAAAGGAGGTCCTCGAATTTAAAGAGGTCTGAGGGAATTCCATCTGGCCCTGCGTCATTATTCAATCTCAACAGTCTGGTCTCATGTTCGACCTCTGCGCGTATGGGCGGATCCAAGGAGACGGCCCAGAGAGAAGGGAACTCAACGCCCTAAAAAGAAATTGGTAACTCAGATTGCTTAAACCGCCTTGCAAAGTGCTCGGCCCAAGGCTCCAAGCGTCTTGACAATCGGCTGTTCACTCTCGTTGCGTGTGGTCTCGCCAACACCAGGTCCTCTGCTGGCCGTTTCCCGTATCAGACGGAATACTTTATGATGATAACCAACCGCAAAGGCTTTTTCCATTTCCGATGCACGGTGAGATCACCAGGCTTTGCGGTCTCTTCAAGCTGGCATGCAGTTTTGCCCTGGAATTTTTGGGAGTCGCATTACGTTCACTTCCAGCCGAAATACTCCGGCGAGCATCCAAAAGTTCCAGAGACCTTATAGAGACCTCAAATCCAGGTTGGCAATTTTATTTGCCACATGAAGAGATGCCTATTGATAATCACGTTTGGCGAATATGCAACCAGTGATCTTCGTCGGTGTTCAGTGGGCACTTACACAGCCCGGAAATCAGCGTACCTTGATCCGCATTTAAAACACGCACCCAAGAACGTGATCAGAGTTCACGCTCGTGCTCCAAATTCAGCGATACACCTGGACGCAATCTCTGTAGCGGTAACTGATCGCGATGTGATGGATTTGCGTTCATGGCTGGTGGGCGTCAAGTCACGCTTCTGCGGGTGCTGTGTAGAAAGTTAGTGCCCGCGAGAAAGAGACGAGTGTCTTCACACAAGTGTAGCAAACGCTCACCGTTATCATTACGGCAGCCTACACCACGTTGGCCGCCCAAATAAAGCTCATCAGAGGACGATTTTCCGACTTGGATGTTTAGATCACCAGCAAGCACCACAGTATCCGTACGTTTTCTGTAACGAAGGAGGTCGTTAAGTTGGTGATAGAAATCAGCTTTCACGGAATCAGTGCTGCAGTTTGTGGGCGCATAGGCCGCAATGACAAACAGGCACCGTTTGTCCCCGCGAGACTTCGAAGCCTGGAACGAGCCAGCTAATCTAATGGCACACATCCGGCTGTTGACTGGGATCCAATCAACCAGGGCAGCTTCAGCCCGGGGACTCAAAACAACGCTCACCCCAGCATGACCGGCACTTGAAACTGTCATCTTCAGATAGGCGCAATCAGAATGTGTCGACAGTGTCGCATGTGGGGATCACAGGGTAAGCACGAAGCTCGAATCCTGTAGGCAGGTTTCCGATAAACAGAAAACATCGATCTACAGGGTCTCTAGTGTTCAGGCAAGTGCTGCCTGTTGGCCAACCTGTAGCAAAGTGCGCACGTTGAGGCATACCAATCTTAGCGAGGATCGAGGACTCCAAAGGGAAACGATAAACTGAGGCTATTCGCTTGGTTAAACATGGACTTATCGAAAGGACTGGAGCGACGGTCCACGATTGTGTGTGAGTTGAAACTAGAAGACAAGCGACTATTGAAGCCAGATGGAGGAGGGCCGTGAATTGGGGATTGAAAACAAGGGGGATAAAAGTGAAGTTGGAGCGGGACGCTAAGGATGAAAAAGCGTAAGAGAGGGAATAAGAAGACGAGAAGGCCTGAGCAGTGGCATCCAAACCCCGATCCACCCTGCTCGATGCAGCAGATAGGGCGCCGTTGATTAACTTCTGCGACGGCCAGAGCATCAAGAAATTGTGTGGAGGGAAGTTCATCTGGCTGAAACTAACCACTCAATTGTCGCTAAAAAAGCCTACTGCCCAATTTACTGCATGAGAGGAGTCCACTCCAAAGTTTCGGTGGCAGAGGCAATCCTGATTCGCCATAAGCACCCTATCTGTGTGCAAACATTTCGTGCTTGCTCTGGTTCTACAATGGCCATCTGGCATCCTGCAGCTTTAGGTGCGGCGACCACGATCGTGTAAACAAGTCGCAACACGACGGTCATTGTAGCTCTCACATGGAAGCAACTAGTTACCGAGGGAATTTATAGCTAAAAACACGTGTTGCATTTAGGTTGAGTATGAACCACCGAAAACCAGCATGTTTGCAATACTGGCTTTCATGACTGATACGGTAATTATTCACCATGAAAATGAAGTCTATAAAACAAGTCTAAAACATGGTCAGAACAATTCGTAAACAACTGCAACGGCAAAGCACACCAATCAGCTTAGATACTGCGTGTTTCGTGCCACCACGCAGAGATTCAAATGCAGTGTAGTTGAGAGGGACGGAGGAGCAGGAGACGTACCGAGCACCGAGAGCGTCACCAATATACACTTCATTCAATGCCACAACTGGAAGGACGGTAGGTATCATCTGATCCCGAGCATGCTGCGGAATGAGGGATGCCATAGAACAGTCCAAAACAGGAGGTGCAAAATCATCCGGTCCGTTTGTGGCGACAGGTCTTCGCTTGTCCAGAAGTCCCGGCTTCACGGGTTGATCGCGGTGATGCCACATGGTGACCCGAATCCGACTTCGCCAGAAGTACCTGAGCGGTAAACAAAAGGAGGGGACTAGGCTAGAGGGGAAATGATCACAAGCACACAAAGGTAAGCAGACTACACGGGCAATCCGATGAGTCCGCGCAAGACGTGGACATACAGTGATGAAAATTGTCGGCGCATCGTGAAGGTAAAGCAATGTGGGATGACAAGTTGGGCATGGTATGTAGGTATGCGACTTCTACGCGCATTGTTAACTAAATATGACATATAGGGCGATAAAAGAGGTGTCGCGCATATAAGCCAATCGAGTCACCGTCGTGTTAATAGGTCCGAAAAGCGAGTCAAGGGAGCGGAGAACGGCAACGAGGTTAGGCATTAGGTGCGTATGGGGGTGATCGAGTAGGTGGCTACAAATGAATGCAACCGCGGAATGCACAATCGTCGGAGGATAAAGAAACCATGATGAAAGATGACGAGACAGAGAACATCCAGTGCCTTGCGTACGGCCTGCAGCAAAAGCGATTCAAGCAGTGTGAGGCAGTTAGTGTGCCCATCGAACACCGAATTTACAAAAGCACTGCAAATAACATGAGCCACTTAAAAGCTGAGAATTGCAATGGATAATCCGGCAGAACTTTAGAGATGTTTCAGTAACAATGCAGGCGATGTTGTCGATGCCCCACTGAGTGGGGCCTTCGAATTCCACCGTTGCTGTTGTGATTGGAGTACTGTTCTAAGCTATTCGCTGCGCATACTTTTTCCCCTGTTTCTACAAGTTATTCTACAGTTTTTTAAGTGAACCACTTTGAGGTAAGCAATGCTGACTAACTCTGTTGTTTGTATGATTTCGCTCCGCGAAGTTGTCCGAAATTCATCTCTGGTAGAATGTGCCCTCAAAATCAAAACACTATCAAAAGAATTGTCAAGAAAAATTTGGAGATGAAGTAAAAACACCGTGCCAGTTGGGGCAAGCAGGATTCAGACGCTGTCCTGCCAGCAATGTACAAATTCCACGTATCCTATCCGGTAATATCCAGTCGTTTCTCTGGAAAACATGATTTTGAGAACCTTTTCCGGATAGCTGGTCGACATATCTGAATTGTCGGCTGATTGTGAGGAACAAAAATACAACGAGGATAAGTCTCGAACGTAGGTGTAGTGATGTTAGAAGAAGACTGAAGATGGAGTCGTGAAAATCAACGGCTATTGACGCATCAGATCCGACCGACTAAGAAAACCTTAGCACTGCAGAAGTGTTATCATGCACCATAGCGAAGATTGGTGTACATGCGTTCCACAGCTATCCGCGGACCGGAAATTAGTTGGGCCAGGGTTCGACTCCCCGTCGAGGCACATTATTGTGTGTGAGTTTTAATCGTGACTTCTACTTTCTACGAACTTTACCCTACTCACAAACATCTACAATTAATCTACCATCGCCCTTTGGACATCTGAAGGACAGATACTTCGGCCCATTGGGAAGTGACGGGTGAGTGAGCCAATCTGCAACACCAGGACAGATACTGTGAGCTCATTGGCAATACGTCGCGCACCAAGCAGAAGTCATGTATTAAAACTTGCGCACCTAATCGTCAGCCCTCGGTAGCTCAGTGGTAGAGCAGCGGACCGGAAATTCGTTGGGCCGGGGTTCGACTCCCCGTCGAGGCACATTATTGTGTGTGAGTTTTAATCGTGACTTCTACTTTCTACGATAATACTTTTCTTGTGCGACCACCAACATTTATTTCCCGATGCTCTGGATTAAGCAAAGAACGCATCGTTGAATTTGCGGTTAGCAAACATTTTGGCGCATGTTTTAAGTTGTCCTCTAAGAGTCTAAACGAACAGTTTCACTCCGTATACACTGTTTTAGCTAGTCCAGCATCCATTACTCTATCCTACCTTATCTGTCTCGTTCATTAGTTGATCCCAAAGTGGTGATGCATCAATTGTGAGAACGTTTGCTCACTTGTAAAGGAACTCCATTTGTTTTTTTGTCAATTCGCATCACTTGCCCACCGATTTGATGTTGTAGTATATCCGCATCGTTAGTGTAAGTTGCTGAAAATGCTCTCACACGGCGGTATCGAAGCTTATCTTGACTTGGGAATTCGAAAACTGGTGACTGTATTTATCCCTATCCATTGCACACAAGGATTCGAAAGGGGGCTTGGTGACGAAGACCTGAATTAGCGACAGGACAATTTTGAATATCCCAGAGGATGGTGAAATTCAGCGAATATATTGCCTGTCTACACATACCCAGCACCATAACAATGTCACTTGATCGAGTGCGAGCAAAACGTTTCTAAATGTATTGTAATCAGTCAACGCCAGAGACGTGTATCTAGCTTCCAAGACAACACTGAAAGGGTTGGGGATTTTGTGGATCATCTCTCCTCTGCATAACCGTTCAAATCAGAATGACCTGTTTGATTACACTAGTGAATGCAATATTAATGGCTTAACCGACCAGACTAGTCACATCGATTGCGTTTTCATGGGTTAGTGCAGAACGAGTAAGCTTTGCTTTCCGGTGGTTCTGCCTCGAGGTCTTACGGCAGGGTCCTGTTGTTCTCGGTAGGTTTCAAGTGTTGTAGATTGCGACTCGGTAGTGGTGTGGGGCACAGGTATCCAGCGTCTTGATTGTGGGGATGTGGCTACCTGGAAGAAAGGGACTAGTGTGTAGGTAAACGACTGATGTTGGCGGTGTTATTGCTTTGCAAGTGAGGGCATAGACGTGGCAGTACGGGGACATAAAGGTGTCAGACAGGGGGACAGTTCGGTAAAGTTAAATAAGAGCTAAATAAGAGGAGTGCCGCGAGCTAGTGTGTCAAAAGTAGTGACCCTACCAGCTAGCTTAGCGAATGGCCCAAGTCTTTCAACATGAAAGGCCAGCGAGGCAAGAGCCAAGCATCTAGGCGTCGTTTGAAGACCTCTGTATTATGTGCTGAGACAACAGTTTCAGGCAGGGCGTTCCAGACGAAGGCGATACGCACACTAAAGCTGGTTCTTCGGCATTGAAGCCGACTACTGCGAGTCATGAATTCGAGCGAGTGCCCTCTTAGGTGGTCTGTGCGGGCGCGAACGAGTAAGTCGGTAATAAGGTGCCTGTTGTTAGGATAGAATAGGCTAGATTGTGATCACGAAGCCTACAATATTTCACTGGGGCGAGTTTAAGCGACGCAAGGCGCTCTTCGTACGAGAGGCGGGATAGTCCCTCCACTCTCGTAATGGCTCTGTGCTGGACGGTTTCTAGCAGGGCTTCGTCCTTCTTCAGGTACGGCGGTTGCACCAGTAAATTGTACTCTAAGTGCGGGCATACAAAGGTTCTGTAAATGCGGACAAATATTTCTCTAGGGAATGACCCTAATACACGCCCAAGGTGGGCCAGTCGCACGCTGGCCTTTCTCGCCTTTGAGGCTACGTTAGCGCTCAGGCTCAGGTCGGCGGATATGATAGTACCTAGATCGCGTTCCTGGGATGTGGCGTTAAGACGCGCGCCGCCCCTAGTGTACGGAGTGCTCGAACCTTATCTGATTTGCATGACCTTACACTTGACGGTGTTGAACGGGAGCAAATTTTCCGAGGCCCTGGAGCAGGCAACATCGATGTCTCTCTGGAGACGCGCCTTATCGCGGATAGGTCACCATATCTTAGCATCCTCCGCGTAGAGCAGTATATGGCTGCTAACAGATGGTAGGTCATTACTAAACAAAGAGAACAGCAGGGCCCCGAGGATAGATCGCTGGGACACTCCGATCGTCGCAACCAGAGCGCTGGAGAGTGAGCCATTTACACCAAACTTGGTAGGTGCGCCCGGATACATAGGTACTTAACTGGTACTTTGCTTTCCAATCCCCAAACTCGGTAGTTTACTTTAGCTGACTGTGTTATTAACCCGTTCAAATGCTTTTGAAAAATCTAGGTAAACCAGGTCAGTCGTAGTATGACTGTCTGCCTCTGCTGTCCAGGAATCAGGGGCTGCGACAAGATTCGTGGTGCACGAGTGAGCTCTGCGAGACCCGTGCTGTTCCGGGGCTATTAGGGACTGGCTTTCTAGATGGTAGCGCAGATCAACGTCTATGATGCTTTCCATTACTTTGAAAGCAGTGCTATCGGGCGGCATTTAGAAGCCTTTGTCCTGTCAGCACCCTTGTATATCGGTGTTATGACCCCTTGCTTCCAGGTGTTCGGATAATCTGCGCTGGTGTGGGAGCGACTGTACAGTGAGACAAGCGCTTCGGCCAGTACAGCAGCACGCTCACGCAGATAAATGGGGGGCTCCCATCCCCAAGCCCGTCGATTTGTCTTTCCTCAATTTTGCTAATTTTTTCAGAACCTTCTCTGGCGTGAATTGTATCTGATATCTGACCGCGCCGGGAGTAACCTTAGTGTCCACTATTGTACTGCGTGCCGAGGTGCTAAAAACGGACTCGTACTTAGCCTTCAGCAGTTCTGCAGCTACTCTGTCCGACTTAATGTTGCCGTCATGTCTGAACAGGCTGCCGATGGCAGCCCGCGATTTAGTGAGAGAGGCAATGTGCCGAAAGAAGACCTTGGAGTTATCGGCGAAGCGTCTAGCGAGAGCAATCTGGTAAGCTTTTTGTCTTGGCGAACAGCTGCTACACAGGAATTTCGCACTCTACGGTGTTGTGGTCGCGATTCAGTATTACGAATCTTCCCCAGAGAGCCTTCTTCTTCCTGATCGGTCTAAAAGTGGCGGGCTGAAGCTGGTTTTGGTGTTTCGGCACAGAAGCACGCACTGTAAGGAAGTATGCCCTAATGGCGTAGTTGATGTGAGCAGTTCCAGTGCTCATCGACTGTGGGAGTTTGTGCTGCGAGGGACCAGTCAACTCGGGAAAGGTGGTTCAATGGTACAATTACTTTCCACAGGATATCCTACTAACCTTAGCATCTCAAAGGTATGCTTTGGCATTACAGTAAAACCATTTCAAACTAGCCAAAAGATTCTCCAAACTATCAGCCGGTGAACTTGCCCTAAAGACAACATCGCTGGCCCTAATCGATGCTTTCAGTAACTGATTATTGAATTCCCAGTACATCTGTGCTGATGGCGTACAAACCGAAAATGCACTTATTCGGGTGTGTAAAGCCTACTAGGTCACTCCTGGAATAATGTAACATTCGTGAGAATTAGATTACGATGCGCGTGCCAAATACGGTGCTCCTCTCCAACAAGGCAGCAGACTAAAAGCTACCTTGATGAAGTTGACGAGTAAATATTGGGGTGAAAGCAAAAGTGTAGTTGAGCGGATCAAAAAGTCGAGCTGAAATCTTCCTTTACTGAGGAAAAGGCATATTATAGGTAAGGCGACAGATGAGATAGATCATTAAGAGCACTTACTCGAAATTTCCTGCCAGTAAGGAGTCCAGTGCCTGATGAAAGTTGCTTGTGTAGCTTCGTGGCAGGCAAAGATAACCATAGGAGCTAGAAGAGGCGAGTGTTACGTAGTTGATGTAAGTCTAAGTACAAATGAAATGAGACATTTCGTTGACAAATTGTGTGGAAATGAAGTTGGGTTGCAGATTGGTTCGACTCAGGTTAAACAACAAACAGAGCAACGGGACCGCTTCAGAATGGTGCACGATGTTATGCAACAAATAAAAACGATACTACGCGCGGCTCGTTACAAGAAGCAATCCATGGTCTTGTTCTAGATTCTGATCCTGAGCTGTACTGCAATCAAAAGGCCAAAGCACCGCGATGAAAGACCAAGACGTGTAGGTGATCAATCACATGTGGTAGATGTGCGGTCCGATATTCACAAATCAATCGACAAAATCGTAGCTAAGCTTTACCACCGGCGTGATATAGAGACTGACAAAGTGTTGCCATACAACATGAAGGCGAAGAAAACTGGTTTTGAGGCAGGCAAGAGATAGGGTGCCGAGAGTCGTGGAAAATATGGTATTTAAACACGTCAAAATGCTCTCGACCGGGCGAGGCTGCGGTGAATATTAATTAACAAATAACAATTCATAGATGTTGACCATTAATCAAACAGGGAACAGTGGTTGATTTTCAGAAAATGGACGACTTCAATCGATGCATGTTACGGAGGTTAGCGTTAGAGCAGAACTCGCTGGAGTATGTCGGTGGGGGCATGGACGCTGAATGTTTGCCCGAGGCTATTGTAGATCATGTAACTTGTTTGGAGGAGAAAATATATTAAGGTTGTTGATGGCAGTTGCCAAAACCAGTTACTGTGGATGCTAACGATTTCTCTTTGGGTGATAGCAAAATTCCGACAAAACGTTTATGTGTTGCGTCACCGGTAAAATAAAGATGGTCAAGTGAACAGTAGAGAAAATGCGATATATCGTTGGAAAAGCTTGCCAAAATAAAAGGAAAGGCCCCAGTTGGATAGTTTTCTCATTTGGATGGAAGATGAATGAAGGTTTGTTCCCACTACAACCAATTTGCCATCGCAGGGTCATCAGCAGCGCACATTCCCCCGGCATATTTTACAGCAAATAAACAAATAAAAGATATCATAACCTGAAAGGTAACACAGAGGCCGAATAAGGGGAGATAAAATGAACCGACTGAAGTAAAACGGCTGGTTCGAGTAAAGCCACTCTAATCGCTGCGATCAGACGTTGGTAGAATGGAAGATGGGGGTGGATGTGATACCAAAGCATGCAGTAGTTAGCTCGGGGCGCGATCCTCGATCCAGGGACAATAGAACCGAATGTCTACGAGCAGAACAGCTGTCACAGAAAGCTTTATTTCCTGAAAGTCAAAACACCTTTCGTTGAGTATGGAACCGCAACCGATAGAAATAAAAGCACGTTCAGATACCCTACGCACAGAAGCAACGAAAATAGCTGCATTGGTAGGAGCACATCAAGAGCTGAACTTGGCCATCTAACCAAGTAGCAATGCAAATTCCAAACACAAGGGTTCAGTCAACCTAGCGAAATAGTACTACTAATCAATCGTGACCCAGACAAAAAAGTGCAGTGGACTGAGCCGAGTAAGCTCAACCAAAAAATGATACCGAAAAGAACGATAAAGGAGAAAACAAGCCTATGACTGATTTGGAAGGAACAAACAAGAGATCGAAAAAAGCAATCCAAGCCGATTCCGGTAGTCTTTAAGTACTGGTGCCATCGAGGCCCAATCTTCCAACTAGGAAAACGGTATACATCAGCGCAACCAAAAATTACCATAAATTGCGACATGCTTTTGAAAACCAGAGTTTCTCCTAACTAGATGCAGCGTTGACAAACAGTACAAACCTGTGAGACCGCTAGGCTAGACGACGCAGGCGTTGCAGATTCAATAGACGGTCCGATGTGACTCAGGAAGTTGGTTGCAAAACACTAATTAGCGGATACAAGCCCTGTGAATTCGGTGCGCTCATCAGGAAATGGCTAATACTTGGCGCAGTGGTCACAATATAAGGGGTACGATACTACTGCCGGGGATTCTGACACAGCCAAACCCTCCAACCACAAAAGCTAAGATGCTGCTAATAAGGTCCAGTAATGACCAGTAAGATCGCATCCAGTACAGCAATGGCTCTATGTGCACGGGTACGGGACCTATTTGAATGTTTCCTTGATATTACAGGATGTTTTAGAAATTAAATCCAAAACTAGGAGCGGCTGCACTCACGTGCTGACGTACCCCGAAATGCCGAATTGCCAACTGTCCAATGGCGAAAATTGCTTTGCCGAACGTGTCGGCAGGAGTGAGATGGGACAAAGAAGCGGGACCTGTGTGTTTGTCAAACACCGAAGCAGCACCGGACGTGTCATGCTTTCATCGCAGAGAGCAGAGCAAGGGAACCGAGGCCGTTCGGCTGTGAGAAGTGTTAGCCGTACTGGACATGTCATGCTTCGATCGATTGGTAGTAGGTTTTCACGCAGGTGAAAAAACCAGCAAAAGAGATCACTGTGTAATGGCTAGTGGCTCGCTGTACTCGTAATTGAGAAGAAAAGTCTGGCCTTATGCAATGACCGATGGGTGCCAGTTGCTATCGCAATACATGGCAAAAGACAATCGTGACAAAAGCTGTTATAGCCTCATGACTGGCTTCTAGCAAACCCGGAAGCTTTCATTAGGCTGCTTTCGCTGCTAAGGGGAATCATACTGCCAGGAGCATTTTCTAAGGTTACAGTCTTGTTCGTTTTACCGTTTCGATCGCGTGTGTGTTGCAGCTGAAAATTCCCCTTCATGGGTGCATAAAAGCAAACGCTTGACTTAACAATGCTCTTAGATTAGTTTGCCTCGACGCACTAGTGGCACCATTAGACAGCACACCAATTTAGTCATGAACGCAACGGTTGCCCTCACAGTTAAACAATTGCTTGTTGTACAAACTGATCATGCCTTCGATGGTGTTTCTCGTGTGCAGGCGAGAATATACATGTATTTATTTATTTACTTATATTTATAAGTGTGTGAAATGTCTGTAAATAGCAAAATATTAGGTTTGCAGTGCCCTCTGTCGTTTTGGCTGCAGAGCAGCATTCGCCGGATAGTGTTGGTGAGCGCTTTCTGCAATGTCTTCAACGAAAGCCGGCTACATCCGTACACAATGTTCTCTCTCAGTTCATCCAGACTGTTGGGTTTTGTTCCATAAACTCTACGTTTCAAGTAGCTCCATTAGAAAAAATCCATGGGATTCAGATCCCGTGACCGCGCAGGCCACTCTATCGGTTTACCGCGACCGATATAACGTCCACCGAAAGTCTCGTTCAGGTAGGCACGAACCGATTGCACCGAATGTGCAGGTGCGCCATCCTGCTGCCACAAACGTTATTCAGTAACCCTTCGGACTGTGGCTGCGGAATGACGCTGGTCCGCAGCATTCCCATGTACGAGAATGCTAAGAAATGTCAGACATTGGTACTGTTAAACAACAACCTACCGGACACACCCCTGAAAAAGAAAAAGGGCCCAATGATTTTTCGACCAGTCAATCTAGCCCAGGCCATGAGTTTTGCGCTATGTTGCACACGTGAAGCGCTACATTGCCGTGAGTTAGTTGCTGCCCAAATATGCTGAGTGTGATGGGAGTATACACTCGAACGAACGTGCGGTGCCAGCCCAGCAAGGAAGCCGTTAGGCTGCCGCAAGGAAAGGCGGCAGCTGGTTGGACGTTCACAAGTTTCTCGCATGCACGCTGATTGGCCAACAGTTGGACGCATTGGAGTGAGTTTGTTTGACTGAATCAAAGGAAAAATGTCATGCATTCACAAACGTCGTTAATTATGGATCCAACTAGCTGTATATACCGATATGTTTCACTCGCCCTCCGCCTGCGTTTTCGCCTGGTCCTTTTGTTTGCAGAATATACGTTTTGGCCCTGAAGGACCGACTTTTCACACTGCGAATCTTCGCTATGCAGACGGGAAACCGCCTCATCGGTGAACACAATAGAACGTACGTTCAGGTTGTTTAAAAACTAAAGGGCAAATTCCAGGCGCTTCTGTGAATCGCAGGTGCTCAACACGTGCACATGCAGTTCACTGTGCCGTCGGAAATTTTTTCGTCCGATATCCGATGCACAGCATACAGTGTGGTTTCGCAATGTTGTGCGAGTTGTCGAATGCTCAGATGGCTCTTACTGCATACCACTTACCCAAATGTGCAAGCTGATACTTCATCGGTGACGGCGGAAGGTCGTTCGGTTTGTTTGATGTCGAAAACATTGCCAGTTTCTGCAAATTTCTTCACCACTCGACGCACATACCGCTCGCTAATAAGCTGCACAACGCAGTGCATAGTGCGTCTTGCGGTTTCTGGCTCGTTGGACCCATACTCATCATACAGCTGCACAATGACCACGCGCTGATGGGCCGGAACATTACGTGACTGCGGTTGCGGGTACATCGATGACACGGGTAGAAGTTCCTGCTCCATTGACAAAACAACGACCCACTAACCACCTCGCAGGGATCCCTGTTGCTATCATTTGCACATGCGTGAAAGCCGACTACCAACCGATCGAAGCATGACAAGTAAAGCATGGCTTGGGTGTTTGGCTAACACTCAGTTCTCACAGTCGAACGGCCTCGGTTCCCTTGGTCTGCCCTGCGATGGAAGCATGACCCGTCCAGTGCGGCTTCGGTGTTTGAAAAACACCCGTGTCCCGCTTCTGTGTCCCATCTCACCCCTGTCGACACGTTCGGCAAAGCAATTTCGCCATTGGACAGTTGGCAATTCGACGTTCCGGGGTACGTCAACACGTGAGCGCAGTCGCTCCTACTTTCGGATGTAATTTCGAAAACACCTTGTAGAAACCACTCGAGCTCGTCATCCATCCACATTGGTTGCCCATTGCGGCTATGCGGGTGATTCTTGCCGCCAGGCACACAGTTAGCTCCTGTTTGATCGACCACAAACCCTGATAATCTAATATTATAGGGAAGAGAGAGCTATAAAATGGGTGAAATGGGCGATGCATGTGAAGGATCAAATTTAACAATGAATTTTCCCGTTACTTAGAATGATATATGCATTGAATTCAAATGAGCCAGGTTGTACAAATATGATGACAACGTGAAGATGGATCGTTGTGGGGGCATCAACAATGTCAGGTGCGATGAAATCCAGGTGAAAATAAAGATGTGAACAAGCGGAATATCATGAGGTAAAACAAAACCTACAAATCTGGATCTGTGTTGATTCCAATAAGCGGCTTGGTCCGATTGTGAATTTTGCTTGCGCCCAACAAAAAAGTCCCATCTCCACCTGCAGTGAATACCACATCAGCCCAGGCAATTGCATCCACGTGATAGTCGCTGCGACCCACTACCTTAACTTCCAAACCTCTTGATCTGCAAAGATATCAGAGGTGAACCAATTCGGTTAAGCGGTATATTAAGCGGATAAAAACAAAAATAACGAGTGCCAAAGTCGGCTCTACGGTTAGAATGAATAAACATGTCAAAATAAGCTTTTACGAAGACTAGATAAATAAGTTAGAAAGAAACAGTAGTATTGTCTTACGAAGGGGAACGATATCATGTTAATGGGAGTTTCAGCCAACACCGCAAAAGCGATTGTGTGAGTGAAGAACGACAGAGCGACTAATGTAGCGCGGCAATGTTTCAAGAAAAGTCCAGATTATGGTCTGATGGGATGTACACCGCACACAACAGCCAATTTGGAGGTGGAGATGCTAAGATAATGGAGAGGGTGAATGACGAGTTCCGGTGTTGTTCGAATCCAATGCGGCACGCTTTTAACGTATTGAAATGCTAAAACAAAGTGGACATTCCAAAAAACCGAAATGCGAAGCCCTGACTGTCGCACCTGACATTGTATGTGCAGTTCAGTGCCAGAGCGAAAAAGATGTCAACCAGCAATAAATGAGCGCCGAAGTTACTCCTATCTCTGGTTACCACAAGCTAAACAGGCTAACTTAGGTAGAAGACGGTAATGAAGTACAATGATAGGAAAGAGTAATACCGAAAATCGCACAACCTCAAAGACGTACTCAATGAAAGGAAGGATCGAAATTAATCTATAACTATAATCAGAAAGGCAAAAGAGCATCAGCAGTCCGCCGGTACGCAGTACTGACGCTTCGATGCCGCGCAACCACCACCAGTCGAACATGAGTTAAGGATACTGCGAGGGTCGCCCGGTCCCAACGCAGGTTAGAACACGCGCCCTCGAATTACAATCAAGGATGATGGTAAGTACTGTAACGCGACAGCATTTCAACGAGCTCAGCCAAGGACCACATACAGGTAAGGGTGATGGTGACTCAGTGAAATTGAGAAAAGGGTCAAGATGAACTGTTATACAGTAGAAATGTTTGCCCAAATACACTTAATGTGTGGTAATAAAACGTTTACTCCATTATTCATATGAAAAGTTGGTGTGAGGCGAACATCAGTCACAAACGAATTGCAGGTCTCCACCAGACCCGAGAAACGGGACTAAAACCGGACACAAGTGGTGCTTTTGACTCTTGCCGAGAATACCAAAAGACATGGCACGTACTTCGTGAGAGGTATTAGGTGCCCTAGGACGATCGTCGGCAGTGAAGCAGATCACGGTATTGAGGAATAACTTGCCGCCCTTGCTGCATGGGTGCCATATACTCCCATCAATGAAGTTGAAGAAAATGTGTTGACTTGCATGCATCTTTAACAAACTGAACCGCAGCAGGTGCTTTTTTGAGACAATAGATGAACACAGCCTCATGACAAATCAGGCTGGGTAATTGAACTGGATCCGAACCGCGTTTCGTCAACTGTGGCAGTTTTCCTGATACATCAAGACGCTGTAAGGTATGCGTTTAAGTTTCGAGACAGCAGTAATGGTTGTGGATCCGCATTGGTTTTGCCTTCAGATTAAGACATTCTACTGGTGACCTGATACAACGCAGTTCCAGATGAGCAACCTTCTCTACCGATAACACGGAAGAGAAGACAAAGTAGAACATTACGGATCTCACGATCTACATTTCTTTCCCGGTTGAATGTTTGCCCAAGGCAATTGGCGAAACTCATAGATAATGAGTGGTTTGGAAAACACTGAAATTTTCGTTGTCAGTATTTTCAAAATTACAGTTGCGAAGAAGCACCAGTAGGGAGCCTAGGTAAACGTCTCAAAAGGGAGGACACACTGAGTACAGAGAGATAGAGAGATTCGAGCGTAATCCGTAATGATGTCTTGTGCTTTCGATGCAGCTTGTGCTTACGGTGTTCGCGTGGAGCACCGTATTGATGGCGTGTTGCTGAACATCCGTCCTTTCGGTGGGAGAACCCTAGTCTATGAGACAACTATCCGTATGTTGCTATTTACTGACGACTGTGCGTTGTTTGCACACAGCGCGAATGAGTTGCAGCACATCACTAGTGCTCTGGCTTCGACAGCGGCCAAATTCGGGCTCACCATCAACACAAGCAAAACTGTCTGTCTCTTTCAGCTTTCACTGGAGGTGCAATCTTCAAGATTGCCGAAAAGCAGCGTTGGTGATGACGTATTGGAAGCCGCCTCCCGCTTCTGCTACCTTGAGAGTGTGATGTCGACTGACCAACAGCTTCACAGTGAGCTTCGTATCCGAGTCTCGAAAGCAGCGGTGGCATTCGGGAAGCTAGAGTACCGAGTGTGGAACAACCATCAGCCTACAATTGACACGAACCTGATGGTGTACAAATCCATGTTGTTGTCCGTTCTTCTATACGACAGTGAAACTTGGACGATGTACCGGCGGGATGTGTGATATATCGAGCGGTTCCATCCACAGTGTTTGCGACGGATTCTGCGCATCGGTTGAGGCGACAGAGTTGTGGACACGGAAGTATTGCGCCAAAGTGAAATATATGCAGTCGACTGCATACTTTTGCTGAGACACCTGAGGTGGCTCGGTCATGTGAGTCGTATGGATTCGACGTGGATGTCGAAACAATATGGTCAGCTGAGTAGTGGAAAGTGGTATGCGGGGAACCGAAGCTTGCTTACCAGGACATGATCAAAGTGAGCCTCTCACGTTCTAATCTTGATTACAGGTCATAGGAATCGAAGGCGGTTGGTCGGCGTGCATGGCGTGATCTGATCACGAAGGCAGTTGCCGAAGTGCATAAGACCTCATGTATATGTAGAAGAAGCGACAAGTGCGGAAGCGACAGGCGCCGATGCGTTGTACTCGATCGACATCGAGCGCATGGTGATGTAGCAAATGCGGTCGCGAGTGCCTGAGTCAGGCAGGCTTGATGAGCCATGAGCAAGGCCACTCAGGGCCAACACCGAAGCAACGACGGGTCCTGCAGAGAACGTACGCAGAACTGACGCAGCGTTTGTAAGCACGCTACATTCGATTTACTAACCGTGTGCTTGCATGCTGGGTCTCTTTATTTCAGGTGGTGTGTATGCTTTATTGCCTCCTTAATGTGTACCTGCACTATTTCCTATTAACTTGCACATATCGCTCAAGTTAATTGCAGTTAACTTGGATAACATTTTCGCGTTTGTGGCATTTCCCTAAAATATATTTTCTGACATCTTGAAACTATAGTGGATAGTTTTGCAAACAATTTACATCTAATGCTCATTTATTAAAGAGCTATGTCAGCATATCTGCATATACTATTCGATTTATTTTACTTGCTATTATTGTTTCAAGTGATCGCCTGTTGCTTGATATCTCCGGTGTGGCTGCGCATGATGTGCATGTTGACAAGGTACCTACCTGTTTATTACTCACTACCTCGTCCATATTGGCTCCAGGAGACAATTGGTCATTGCTGGAGGGGACGGGATGCACGGTCCTTGTGGCCGTGTTAGGCACGAAGAGTGGTTCCATGCAGTCAATGTGGAGCGGACTACGGTCCAGCCACCGCCTTGTGTGCGCTTGATTCCCAAATACAGCGTGCATGCGTTTGCTTGTGAAGGAGTGTGGGCCGGCTCCGTTGATGAAACGCGGCTCCCATCCACATGCCTCCCGGTCTTATTCCTTCGGGTTTACACTGGATATGGGTGTGTGGATGGAGCGGTACGTAGTGCAGCGCAAGCCACCAATGGTCCCTCTGTAGGCGCAGACGTCCAGTGGTTGTCCTCACGGATTTGCATGCAAATCCGGACATGGATGCTGCCAATCCAATCCCATATATATATATATATATATATATATATATATATATATATATATATATATATATATATATATATATATATATATATATATATATATAGGATTGGATTGGCGGCGTCCATGTCCGGATTTGCAAGCAAATCCGTGAGGACAGCAACTGGACGCCTACGGCTACAGAGGGATCATGGGTGGCTTACGCCGCATCACCGATACCTCCAACCACACTCCCCATATCCGGCGTAAACCCAAAGGAATAAAACCAGGAGCCACGTTTTATCAACGGAACCAATCCACGATCCTTCGGCAGGCTCAACAATATTCCTGCCTGAAAGATTTCAGAATACTTGTAGCTCGGCAAACAAATGAGCAACTGAGCACTCCTGTCTAGCTAGGAAATCATGCGTAACAGACGTATAGAAGATGGTGATTGGGTTGTAGCCTGTTCCATACTGCATGGAACCACTCTATGCGCCTAACAGTCACGGGAACAGTGCACAGCGTCCCCAGTAAGCATTAACGGTATGCTGGAGCCCGTATAATCGATATGGAGGAAGGTCCATAGAACATATATGGCGTCATTTAAAATTGTGAAATCAGAAATATGCTCTGAAATCCTGGTTGACAGCCTTCTATCAGTTCGGCCCACGTACTTGCTACCACAAGTACAAGGAAAGAGGTAAACACATGAGGCGATAATATGGTCACCAACGGTCCTAAGCTGCCGGCAAGCTCCATTGCCCAACACATCCTAGGCTGCTCCGTATGTTAAAATCCACGTGAGTCGTTCAGAATAATTAATCGACAGAGCAATCCCCATCTGCTTCAGTTTGCTGGACCTTCAACAATTCTGCGACTGAAAGCTGAATCAGAGAAAAGTGAGATGTATCATATTCGCAAAAAGGAAACAGGAAGATTTGGATTCTATTTGTGACCCGTTATTGAACTTTTTCATCAATTGCAAGTGTTGGGAGGGAAACGGTCGAATGCCTGAATTTAAACAAAGCTTGCACAGATTTGCTAGTAGGTTAGGTTAGGTTCACCGGTGTTCCCGGGTCTTGCGTCTATAACCAAGCAGACATATGGATCCAAAAGCAAATTGCATGAAGTTTGTGATCTCATTCGCAGTCGCCAAGTCGACCGCCACATCAAATTCTGCAAAATCGAATAGGGCATGATGGCGCAAACGCGCGGGTGATATGCGTAGGACATGACCGGACCATTGAAATTTGA